CAAGATTGGTGCTATTATTGTACTGCTGTTGTGCTGGTCTATATTGATGATTCTATTGTCCCCGATTCTGACCACCTTGCCTCTGCCGTCCAAAGTTGGCCATATAGTTCATATTTTCCTGATAGTTCTGGTTGTCACTTTTCGAATTCCACGAGCATACATATGATTGGTTAATGCATGGTGTACATAAGCCCCCATTAGTCGTGTCAACTATGTGTACCTACTGCTTCTAGCCTGACTCATCAATCTTTTTGGTGAGAATACTCATTTGCATCATCAGAGTGGCCATATTTCGGCTATGGAGTTGTTTGGGTCCAAAGCCATTGAATGAACGATTTGAGTGATCGTAGAGTCTCTTGTCATCCGTCCTGAGTTTTGAGCCATTTTATCAAGTAGGATATTGCATTCTCTGAATGATTTGCTCAAAAACGCTCCACCTGCTGAAGCATCAACATTGGCCTTTAAGTTGTCTGCCAATCCTATGTAGTACCTCTGCACATTTGATCTGGAATGCCATGATGTGGACACTTGACCAGCATACCTTTGAACCTCTCCCGCATTTCTTGTAGTGTTTCTATTGATCTTTGCCTGAAGCTTAATATCTCATCAACTTGTTTGGCAGTCTTATTGTGTGGGTAGAACTTGTTCAAAAATTGCTTGACTAATTCATCCTAAGTAGTGATGGAGTTTATGGGGAGTGAATTGAGCCAAGTTTGAGCGTTTCTCGTTACTGAGAATGGAAACAACAACAACCTTATTGCTTTCGGTGTCACATTTGGTTGCCTTTGTGTGACACATATCGACAGAAAATTTTTCAGATGCTGCTGAGGGTCTTCAATGTATGATCCTGAGAACAGTCCCTTGTTCTGCAATAAATGTAGCATGTTGTTTGTGATTTGAAATAATTCCGCTTGTATCTGATGGACTGGAATTGCGGTTCCCAGATTTTCGGCGGTGGGTTGTGCCCAATCATACAATGCTGCTTCTGGCACAAGAGGCACCACACCCTGGTTGTTCGGGTCATTCACATTGTTTTCGTTGTTTGGATTTTCTATTTTGTCATCCATGTCTAGTTCGATTTATTCTGTTGATGTTTGCCCTTCTTGTTTGCACAGTTCAGTGCCTTGAAAACTTGCTCAGGATCCGATAATGCTTCGAACAATGATAATGCTTCGAACAATTCACCAGTTCTTGAGGAGTTTCTAGGCATACACCTGTAATGACCAAGACTACAAACGTTAGAATTTCAATATATTTAGTTTAAAATGAAGAAAATTGACAACACTAAGAATTCTAGCACTTCTTTTAGCTGCAACTAATAACACCGTTAATTCCCCGGCAGCGACGCCAAAATTTGATCACGCCCAACTATGCCTTATAAAAGGACTAAGCGGTCGTTGCAAATATATTCTGGTTAACAAGTCCGGAGTCGAATCCCACAGGGAATTAACCTATTAAGCACATCTAATAGACTCACACAATTTCACGCAATCAATCTTCAGAAATATTTAAATAACAAATTGGATGTTTACTAACTAAATATCACGTAATGAAACATGCAGTAATTAATAACTAACTATGAACAAGTTGTAGCAAGAATTGGAAAGGTCTAGGGTTTTGATTTCCCCTATTGTCGGAATTCTTCCCGCTACGTTTTCTATAATTTCGTCTAAGTATCCTCCACTGATCGTGAGCACTCTAAGTATCATAGATCTCTCTCGAGAAACTACCACAATTTACTAGACGTATTCTCTCGAACTACGCTAGCTAGCACTAATTTACCGCTCACTATGATCGCACCAAGATTTCGTTATCTCTAATCCCGCCTTTAAACCCTCCGTATTGATCTCTCAAATACGTTAGGATTGGTGTTGTTCAATAACTACCTAAATGCGTACTCTCTCTCGAGCAATACACACTAAATAGGCACAGTCAATTGAGGGCCTTCGACCAACAAGAATAATAATATAGTTGAACAAGTAGAGAAAAGTAAATGACAAATTTATATTAAACGCAATGGAAAAATCATCCTTCAATAGGTTCCATCAAACCCTAGATTAGGAATTTAGCTACTCATACTCATAGTAACAATATCCCAAGTGTTTTGCATAAATAAATTACAAAGTAAAGATGAAGGGATGTAGAAATCGGTGATTCTATCTCCCAACAAGTGTTCCACGAGCTATTCTTGTCTCCGGTCGCAAAACTTCCTCAAAAGTGGTGTTTTATGTGTATTTATATGTGTAGAAAAAGACCTAAATGACATAGGCCAAGTCCTAATCAAACCAGGAGACGAAATAAGCCTTCAAAATATGAAATAAGCCTTCAAAATCTGGAGTAAGCGCGCCTCAGACCTTGCCTCACGAGGCTCCACGCGAGATGGACCTTGCCCTAGACCACGCGTCGCCAACCTTCACGCGAGGTGGACCTCGCCTCATCCCTCGCGTAGCCTGCTCCCACGTGAGCTCAAAGGCTCGCCCAGCCAACTCTAACGCGAACTCTTTAGCTTGCTTCGCCAGCTTCCTCATTTTTCCGCTGCTCACTTCTTTCTTTCTTCTTTTCAACTGTTTTCGAGCACGCTTTAGACTTTAAATATTCCTTTTGCTCTACTTTCATCTTCAATTCACTTACACACAAAATAACTACATTACGCGCAAATAAAGTGTAGTTTAACATTAAAGCACATGAAATGCAAGGTAATTAATGTACTAAATATGGAATTATCGCCACACAAGATCAAAAAAATCTTTATTTTAAGGAATTTGAAGGACCAAAACTACTTAAGCATATGTTTTAGGACACTTTGAGCTTACCCAAACATAAGGAATCGTTTTTGTTATTTCTTGGTTTGAAAACAACGTCTTCTTTCGACAGCACATGGTGAAATCGCGATGGTAAGATCTTTGAACAATTCCAAATCGGGGCGGCTCTCCCATAAAGTAAGTAAAACAACCGCATTAAGTTTTATATTTGTGGGGGAGCCCATTTTTTGTTACACCTAATAGACTATGTATAAGTTTAAAAAATAGTTATATAAAGTGAAAATGTGTGATTTCTTTCTTTAACAAATATAGAGAAGAAGGATTTGCAACCACTATGATTTTTACCAAGGAAATTGCATTTGAAATGAATATCGAACCCGAATTTCGTGAGAGACGTGTGATAAGTAGGAAGTAACAATTTGATGCAAATGTTGATAATGAAGTCTCAAAATCTTTCGAAGAGTCCTTTAGTTGATTACTTTTATACATAATAGACATGGCTATTTTTTTTTACTTCAAAATAGATTTGAACAATTCGATACATATGAAATATTTTTGATTTTCTATTTAGCAGTAAAAACTAAAATCACTAGATGTTGGAATTTTGAAAAAATATTGCCTTAATCTTGAATGTTCTTTAAAGCACAATAATCAATTCGATATTGATGGATTAGATTTATTTTCTAAATTAAAAGTATTAAGGAAAATAGTACAATTAGAGGATAACAATTTAATTGATACACTCAATCAATTAAAGAGATTTAATTCTTTTCCAAATGCCTAAATTGCTTATATGGAATAATATTCATAACTCATGTTACCGTTGCTTCAGCGGAAAGAAGTTTTCAAAATTAAATTTGATAAAATCTTACCTAAGAACAACAACATCACAAAAGAGGTTAAATGGATTAGCTATATTGTCATTTGAAAAATACTGATTAGGAGTTATTGATTATAAAAAAATTATTAATAACTTTGTATCTAATAAAAGCAAAAAACAACATACTTCAAATAAATAATTAAAAAAAAAAGTTAAGGCCCTCGTAAAATTTGGCCTTAGGCCACAAAATTAGGGGCATTTGCATCTATACCCGTTTTTTGTGTCACGTTTTAACTTGTGCCCGCTTTGCAAAAAAAATTACAAGCGTACCCGCTTTTTCGCATAACTTAAGCATACGGGGCTGAAGTAGCAAAGGCAATCACGCAAAACTTTAGCATTCTAGTTGCTGGGCCTGAATATCAGCTCTAGAGCTGAAGTTTTTGTTTTGTAACTGGCGAACTTCAGCTCTAGAGCTGAAGTTTTTATTTTGTAACTCGCGAACTTCAGCTCTAGAGCTGAAGTTTTTGTTTTTGTAACTGGCGAACTTCAGCTCTAGAGCTGAAATTTTTGTTTTGTAACTCACGAACTTCAGCTCTAGAGCTGAAGTTTTTTGTTTTTGTAACTGGCGAACTTCAGCTCTAGACCTGAAATTTTTGTTTTGTAACTCGCGAATTTAAGCTCTAGAGCTGAAGTTTTTATTTTGTAACTCGCGTTCAGCTCTAGAGCTGAAGTTTTTGTTTTTGTAACTGGCAAACTTAAGCTCTAGAGTTGAAGTTTTTGTTTTGTAACTGAAGTTTTTGATTGCTGTTAACTTGCTTAGTTGCACCATGCTGATTGTTACGTACGAAGGCAAGCACAATCATTCCCTTTCAGTTGCAGAAACACGTAGTCTAATTTTAGAGTCTTCTTAGTTAGAACAAATTGTAGTGATATTAAAATTAGCTTTATTTGCCCTGCAAAGAAGAAGGGTTTCCGATCAATGTAAACTGGAGTAATATGTAACAGATTGGCTGGAGCAATTCTTCTTACTCCAGTGACTAACTACTGGTGGAAAAGTCTTCCTACAAATTTGACAAAACAAGCATACTATGAGCAGCTTGTACAATCATAATTATAACAATTCTGTTGAGGATGAATTCTTATTCTTTAAGTTATTGCTTGAGAATGGTGGTAGTATTAGAGAATTAATTATAGTGTCTTTCAGTTGTTATTAGAACAAGAAGAAAACGAAGGAGGAGAATGAGGAGGAGAAAGGGACTGAAATTGTTTAAAAACTAGGTACACGTTAAAAGTTTTAAAAAAATAAGTATAGATTAAATGGGTGCGATCAAATAGGGCGCTCGCGTAAAATTACTCGGGTCAAATCGAAGGGTCAAATCGAACGGTTCGAATAGGGCGCCCGAGTCCATGTTGTTTTAGACGCAATGTTGGCTAATCTCCAAAAATAGCACACAACTGGAGTCTGGAGCTCTTCCTACAATCGATCATCCGCTACTGAGCTTTGTGTGGAGAAAGAAACATACGATGTCGTTTAGCTCCTCTGTTTCATCTGCCCAGTTTCTGTCTATGTTCGCTAAACCTTTCGGATCATCTAAGCCTTTAGCGCCTCATATCTCTGCTTCTGCCGATGTCCCTGACTTTCTCTCTGCTGATTGGTAACCATCTTAATCTCTCTCTTGTTTGCTCTTGAATACTTTTTATTAATTGAATTCTTCCTCTGAAGATGGTACTAATTTGTTTTGCAATTGGGTTGGTGGATATTGCAACTTCTATTCAACACTTTGGTTCTTTACCAGGAATTGAACTCGGGATTTTGATTATTGAATTGATATTTTTAGTATTTATTTGATTTTGTATAATTTTAGTGGTATTCGTGTGTAATAAAAAAGCAAATTGTTCTAAAGTTGCCAGTTCCCTTGGTTGATCTTAGGTATTGTTGAGTTACCACAAAGTTGAGGTTTGCTACCTGAACATCAAGTGAAATAATAATGTCTTGGGCTGCTTTCAAAAACTTATATTCATTAGACAGTTCAGTTTTATACGTAATGCTTCCACCGTCACCCTAGCTTATCATCAACAACAACAAACAAGTACTAATTCCCAATCTCAAAGTAGTTAGGGTCGGTTATATGAGTTCTCTATGTCCATTCCGCTCCATTTGGGCCAATTTAACTCCAATCCTCACTATTCAATACTATATCCTTCAAAACAAACTGAGAGTTCTGTAGAGTTAGAGGTTCTTTAACTCTAGTCTCTAAACTATTGTTGATGACATGCTTTGGGAGTTTGGGTCCTTGGTCTAACATTGCACAATGATATAATCCCTTTAACCAAGGATTTGTTGCCTCCTATTTCTTTAGATTGTGATTGTCAAGCAGCAATTGTTATTTGCATGAATAAATCTTGTAACTGCAAAAAGTAGACATATGAAATTGAGACATGACATTGTTACGCAGCTACTAAGAGATGGAATAATTTCGATTGACTATGTGCAGTCAGAAGTAAATTAGGTTGATCCTCTAACCAGACCTATGGGAAGAAAATTAATTCTTCAAACCTCAAGAGAAATGGGGTTAAGGCTAACAAGACAATGATCCAACCTATGTGATTGAATATCCCATGAAGTAGGTTCATATGGGTAATAATTAGTTGATGGTGACACTGACTGAAGCACTAAAAGATGAGTGCTTGACTGCTACTAATTGAGATGATGAGTTATAACGCTTAATGATTTATATTCCTTAAGGATGATGTACTTTTAGCAGTATACACTTGACAAATTCTCTTACATGAGAGTGGAGTGGGACAGGTCTTATAAGATTTTGGCTCACAAGTCTCTAGAGCTCTTATGAATATTCAAGCACAGGCATGGTATCTTCGCACACAACCGTGTTGAACAACAAAATTGAAGGGTCACAATATGATTGATAAATCTCTGACTTACAATAAGAATTATTGGTTCATGATATATTATATTTCACGAATAATTTTGTAAGTCAAATTTAATCGGTCTAACTTTGGTTCATAGTCCAAAAGATATCAAACAAATTGCATTTGGACCATACAAATCCATCAAGTCTTATCCTTTGTTCCTAAATTTTTTTGAAATTTGTGGGGAATTTTTACAATATAGGTTTAACTTATAGATATCTCATAAGGATATCTTAACAAGTAGCCACTCATTGGACAAATAGCAGCTTAGAGATGTTTTATGGACAAGTGCCTACTCATCTTCATTTAACCATGGCCTGTCATGGTAAGTGGCAAGTGTATTGTCAATTTGACTTGCAACATGACAAGTGATGATTAGACTAATTATTGGTGTGTAGTAATGAGAAGTGATAATGGAATATATTTAGGAGTATGTAGTTGTGTCTAGCCATGAGACTTGTCATGTTGCAAATCAAGTGACAAGATACTTGTCACTTACCATGCCAACTTCACGGTTAAATTAAAATAGGACACTTGTTCATAAAACATCTCTAAGCATGTTATTCGTCCAATGACTAACTACTTGTTAAAATGTTCTTTTAAAATATCTATGACTTAATCTTATATTGCCAACATAACCCGACTACAAAAAGACTCCAGGTAGACACCGTACCTTATGTAAGTGGACCAACAGGTTAAGCCTTAATTCCAAAGTCGGCATCGCCCATATGGATCATTTTCTTCCATCATGTTTTGTTTTGCTAAGTTCGCGTATATTCCCAGTGATTGGGCCAAGCATGCAAAAACTATGTGATTAACCGTGAGACTTGAAGCCAAGATCTTTGCATGCTCTCATACCATGTTAAACTATATGACCACCTCATCTGAAAGCTTAAACTGTTAGCAAGATTTCACCTTTAATTACTTAAATTATGTCTTCAACAATCCATATTTGGTGAAGTTCAATTAAACCCTTTCCAATTATGCATTATCTGTTGCAGGCTTGAGTCCCGTAGGAAAAAGCCATTTGGTCCAAGATTAAGTGTAAGTTTCTAGCACTTGAAGGCATATCATAAGAGTTTCTGCTTGCTTGCTTATGCATCAATTTACTTTATGGTTTTGCAATAGTTCAGTGCAGATGAAGCAGTTCGCCACCAGCTTGATGCATTGAAATACAATGACCAGCCTCATCAAGATTATGGAGTTGAAGTCATGTACAGAGTAATATCTAAAACTCCTTTTCTCTTACAGTCTGATGGCTTCGCATAAAGTTGAAGCTGGCAGTTTAATCCTTAACTTCTTGTGATAGTTTGCTGGATTTGATCCCTTTCAAAGATCTACCTACTTCGGGCGCTTTTTTGACTTGGGTCAGGTCAGTAATCATTACTGTAACTTTTTTGGGTCATTTCCTTATTTTATTTTCATTTGGACTTCAATTTTTTTGGTTCTTTCCGTAATCGTTATGAATGCTCAAAGAGTAAGCTGCCTGTAGATCCTTGTTCTCATTAGGTCAGGGTACTTGAGCATAATTCCTGCACCAGAGGCAGCAACTAGAAAAAGCTTGCAGCTGTTATTCTATGATGATTAAAGAAAAAGGCTGATATTCGCTAATACATACCTTTACTCTACTGCCATACAGTTTGAACGATTCAGGCGAATTTTTCATCATTCGACTTATCGGGTGTTGCTTGGCCATCAGGAGAGGGAGATTTTGAGCAGTTTGCATGTAAATGAGGTATGTCAGGTTTTACACGGTTGTTACCAAATGTTTTAGACAGAGCAATGATAAGCTTAAGAGTTGTCTAAATTCCACTATGCTCGTGTAGAATTTGTATAAGCAGCGTATCTGGGTCCGAGGTACTCGACCCGAGGAAGAAGAAATCTTCCAATTCACCATGGTTCAGGTTTGTTCTTTCTTCCTCACGTCCTCATTCAGAGCTTACTTGAATCAATATTTTTTAAACTGCTTTTCCCTTTAGATTTTTCATTTCAATTATAACTACGAAAATGTGCATATGGTGGAGCTGGAGTACTGGGGGACTAATATGAGTGTGGTTATATAGCTTAGAATTCTCCATTTATTTCTTCAGTTAATTTCAATGCTTCTAATATAGTAGAAACATATGCTGCTATCTAGGTGATGTATGTTGGACCAAACAAATTAAAGAGAGACTGCAATGCTGCAACAGAAGTTCTTTAACAAGAGAAAGCTGTTTTGCTTGTGGAGAACGTAGTTATTTGAATTTAATTTATTTACGTTGAAGGCTACATTATCCTGTTTCCTCCTTTGCCTTGACATAGGCATGTAAAATGAGTGTGACATGTACTGATGTACATAGTCACTTCATATTGGATTCTTTAAAACTGAACGTGAATATGTACCCATACCCTAGTCCACATACATAGACTAAGGGCTCGTTTGATACAAGGAATAAGGGATAATTAATCCCGAGATTAAATTTGGGATGAGTTTATCCTATATTTGGTTGGGATAAATCGTGGTATAATCCCGGGATTGTAGTGTTACTTTTATCCCGATGGAGGGTGGGATAACAATCCCGGGAGCGGGATAACTAATCCCAAGATAATTAATCCTGGGATAACTTGTTTTCTAACCAAACGACCCCTAAATGTTGCATATGTTGCATCAACCTGTGTTTGTAATTATCTACCATTAAATGCTATGGAAACACCAAGCATAACCTCCACAAAGCAGGGAGTAGTGGAGCAAGTCTTGCAAGCTCTTTTGCTTGTATTTTTGTATAGCTTTATCGCCTTGTTGGCATTTCCAAATGTTTAGTCCAGTGATTACATAATCTGTTTTCTGTGTAGCTTTTGAGCAATTCATCAGATCCTTTGTGAATGAAAATGAAGTTTTATTTTCCTCCTTATATTTTCAGAGAGGTGAAACTAGAGATTGATCTATGTTGTTTAGGCAGGAAAATTCTTTGCTCAAATCCCTGCCTCCTGAATTCTACATCGTCCTCTAGCTTGCAACTTGTAACGTCCAAAATGCATTGACCTGCCTTCACTTACCATTATTACCTCAATTATGTATCCTGTGTCAACAATTAATAAAGGAGGAATATCTTGCATTTCCTTTTGTAAGGCAGAAACATAGGATCAACTTGCATTGCATCTCTATTATTCTGTACCAATAGACCAAAGCCTTGGGGGCATGTTATCTACCCTTAATATTTTCTTTTTAGTTCTGCTTTCCATGGATTTTCATTTTTTTCTTTTGTTTTAATTTTGTTCGAAGAAGAAAATAGACATATGTCTTGTGATTTACAGCGTGTTGGCGGTTCTTGGGATGGCTACTGGCTGACCGAATCTTTGCTTCCCGATGGAGATGCTTTCTCTGGTGGTGTGGCTTACTGAAGTGGTATCTGCGGTAGCGCCAGATGTCAATGCGTTACCAGTATAGCCGCATTTTCTGTAAATAAGAGTGATATACAGTTTAATATATAATGTAGATTCTTACCATCGTTGTCGGCTCAAGACTCGCCAATCATGTAAATAGAAACCTGTACATTTGATATAATGAAACAAATGTTGCCTCTGATGAAGTATCAAACACTAGTATTTTCATCACTTATTGCGCTTTTATTAGTCACTGACAACAGGCATAGTCATGTCAAATATCAGCATCGCTTTCTTCCCCATCCACCACGAGGATTGAAATGACACGAAAGTCCAGACCGTAAAGGAGAAGGGCTCGAGGGAGGCAGTTGTTAGGGCTGCTTATAGGGCGGATTGAACGGTTATTTACTCTTAATGTTTTGGCATTGCTTTATCGGCTTTTAAATGTATTAATCCGCTAGCCACCCGATAAGATATTGGGCGGATTGGTATCAGTTTAGCTCTTATTGGGCGGTTATCGGGCGGTTTATCGGCCTAATTCAATCTATATTGCGTGCATTAATTGTTTGCTGACCGCCTAGCATACAAATTCAGAATAGGAAATAAAAAATTCAGAATAGGAAATAACAGATGAGTCAATCTGGTCTTTATAATACATCTTGGACTGGGTTCTTGATCGAAATAGGAACAATGACGTTTCGAGTCAGAATCGCGGCCCTCTCGACGAGATTGATCACGCCCAACTCTAGTCCTAAAAAGGATAAGCGGTCGCTACAAATATAATCCGGTTTACAAGTCCGGAGTCGAATCCCACAGAGAACTAAGGCTTAGCTATAGTTGTTCAACATCGCTAAGAAACACAAGTACAAACAATTTTCTAATTATAAAGATTATAATATTTATTTTTATCTACTTAACTAACAAATCTGGAAAACCGTAAAACTATCAATTAACAAGGATAATGATTGGAGTCAAGATTAAGGAGGTCTAGAGTTATGATTTCCCCAATTGTCGGAATCCTTCCCGCTACGTTTTCTATAAATTCGCCTAAGTATTCTCTACCGATCATGAGCGCTCTGACTGTCGTAAATCTCTCCCGAGTAATTACCACAATTTACTAGACGCACTCTCTCGAGTTACGCTAGCTGGCTTTGTTTATTACAGCTCACTTTAGATTGCACCCAAGGCTTCGTTATCCCTAATCCCGCCTTTAAACCCGCAGTTATAGATCCCTCTTATACTTTGGAGTGGTGTTGTTCAACAACTACCTAAATATGCACTCTCTCCCGAGTTATGCACACTAAATAGGCACAACTAATTGAGGATCCTGTCAATTAACTACAACAAACACGTAGTTGAACAAATAGAGAAAATACTACAGCTCAATTATATAAAAATAACAAGAATTTATCCTACAAAAGGTTCCATCAAAACCCTAGATAACAAATTAGCTATTCATAATAGCATGTAAAACTACAATACTAAAAGTCATAACCAACAATGAAAAATAGGAAGAGGAAGAAAAAACTCGTAGAAGAATTCTCCGCCTTGCTCCCAATGTGTTCTTGCCTCCAAGGGTGTTGTCTAACCCTAAAGTAGTGTCTCTCCGCCTCCTTAGGTCTAATTTGTGTCCAAAATATGTCCCCCTCTTGTTCTTGGCCGGCCTCCTTTGTTTAATATAGGGTTTAGGACTTAAAATCCCATGTTTTGCACTTTAGTCCCTGAAATTTTCGCTTCCTGCCGCGGTTTTGCCGCGGTCGCGGTGGAACCGCGGCCAAACATGCCCTCTGATTCTTCAGTTGTCCGCGACCATCTTCTACCGCGGTTCTGCCGCGGTCGCGGCAAAACCGCGGTTTTTCACCCTGTTCCGTTTGGAATTTAGAAAAACGTAAAACATGAAAGTTGTAGCCCTTTGAGTTAGCTTTCCAACCATATATTGTGGAGCCCAAATGGAGTTCTGAGCAAAAAGTTATGTCTATTTTACTAGACAGTGCGCAATATGCCTCCTCAAGTCTTCGTTCGTACTTAATTATCAAATTTGACCCCCGAACACGATCCCGGCTTAATTCCTTGAGCTTTTACTCAGACTTCAAAGCTTCAAATCACTTAAATTCATTCCATAACATCTATATAGCTCGGAATCACACCTACAAGGCATAAAACACACAATTAGTGCAAAACACTAGCGATTAAAGCGCAAACTCAATTAAAGTGCAGTAAATTCGAGTGTAATAAGCGACTAAAATATGCAATTATAGCCTATCATCAACACCCCACACTTAAACCATTGCTCGTCCTCGAGCAATCAAACTACACTTTTTTTATAGACACGACCTTTTTAAACAATTCTCCTAACTCATCACACCAAGAGTATTTAAAATAGACTAAGCACAAAAGCGTAACATCTTCACCTCAAGATTTGACTCACAAGTACCACGCATTATTCACAACTCACCCACTTACTCTAACATAGAGGTCACTGACATTACCTTTCCTTCATGAATCAAGTGCCCTCACACAACAAAAGAGAGTAGTTCCACACAATAAAATTTAAGAACACTTAGGAACTCAAGATAGAAAGAATTCACTCACTCTCAGAAATAACATTCATATGCCACAAAAGATGCACCATAGGCTTGCCCGTAGTGTACTACTCTACTAATCGAGCTCATTCAGTCTAGGATCAAGTAGGACTTTAATTGGTTGTAATGTAAGCTGCGGGACGGGTAGGATATATTTAGATATAGAGTGACTACACCTCCCTAAGCACTTTAATACATATACTTTAACCTTCAAACCCCACTTATGTCAAACCAAAATTCCACCCTCACATCAATCTAGATTAACTCCCTACATCTTTAAGCACAATTACGTCAAGAGCCGCCACTATATATATATATATATATATGTATGTATGTATGTATTTTTTTTCTTCTTCTTTATTTTTCAATTCAAGTGGCTCTTATATTATTTTTTTCCAACATAATGTACCTTTCTCCTTATTCCATTAGTTCCACTCAAAAGCCACACCCACCATCCCACACTTTAACTTTTACAAAGTTCATAACAATTCAAGTGCTCATGAGAGGTGAAAAGGTTCAAATATATGGTCAATTCAAACAATTGGGTAAGGCTTGTAATGTGGTTGCCAAAGAAACAAGATTATAGGCTCAAAAGGGGTTAACTACGATATATCACAATGAGGCGGGTAAAACATACATATCTGGCTCAACAAAGAAATGCCTATATCACTTTCTAGACTGAATAAAGCTATTGTTTCGCTTTGCAAACACACGGAGCAAGTTCTAGGCATCAAATGCAATGCATAAAATATAACAAATCCTTACACACACATGGCACATAACTCACTCAGGATTGGTTTCATCAAGACACTCTAGTCAAAGCAGTTAAGCAAAGTTAAGATCATACAATTTAAGGTACTTATACAAGAGTCAAAAACTAAGCCTAAGCGTCACAACCAAAGTACTCACTATTCTCAAGGCATAACCAAGTCAAGAGATATTGCTTCAATTCAAAACACAACACAATGGCTCCTACTCCCAAAAAAAAACTAACTACACCCGGTTCAAATAAAATCCTTGGAAAAGAACCGCGACACAAAGAAAAACCAAGGGGGAATTATTACACTACCTACAAAGAAAATCTTTTTTTTCTTTAGACTTAAATCCCTCCAGAAAATTGTGTAATAGATCTATCGTCGGGAAAAGTCCAATCTTTAAAAAAAAACTATTTAATTAAACTAATACAGCTAAAGTAGCATGAAAAGTCACCCAGACAATCTCATCACCCCACACTTAAAATTGTGCATTGTCCCCAATGCACAGCATAACCATAAGAGGGTAAGAGAAACTCCCTGGTAGGCCAAAGGCCGAAGCACTAGCCGTCATGAGGTACTCAGACTTCTCCCAGGCTTGGTCCTTCGTGCGGGTACCTCACACTTAGTTCCAACCATTTGGTTTGCTGATGCATCCTTCCAATACCTTTGCTTTCCATGCTCCTAAAAAATAAAAAAATTGACACTACAAAAATAATACAATTAAAAAAAATAAAAAATAAATAAAAGAAAGCAATAAAGCTGGGTTGCCTCCCAACAAGCGCTTGATTTAACGTCGCGGCACGACGCGAATCACTTTTTGCCTCCACCTCGAGCTATGAATTGAACCCCAAGTTTTGATTCAAGCTTATGATTATGGTCATGGGGCGGTGGAACGAATCTAACTGGCCCAAGGAAATAATGTAGTATTCTGCACTCCTTGGCCTTTGTATGAGGTATGTAATCCTGACTTTCTAGCAAGAAGAATTCCAAAATATATGCACCTTGTTCCTCATTCCTTGACTCTTCGATTGGTTCAGATGACTCTATTTCCATATCATCATCCAAACATAATGTGGAAAAATGCTTGGAGTATGGACCAATGCGCTCAAACACATAAACTTCAGGACTCTCAACATCCTCAACATCAGTGATACTAGAGTCAACAAAATTTATATCCTCAAAGTCCTTGGCTGGCTCTAGTCTCACTTCTTCAACATTGACATCCTCAAATTGTAGTTGGCTAGGTTGTTGATGTTCTACTCTGACCTCCCTAATTAATACCTCAAATTCATGCCCTTCTTGGCTACTATCCTCAATATTGGATTGTTGAGCATTAAAAGCTCCAACCAGTTGACTCAATTGAGCCTCCAACTTGCGAATAGTTGCCTCTTGCCTTTCTATGTGCAATTGTTTCTCATTGTTTTGTTCCAGAAGGCACTTTAGCATATCCTTGATCTCCTTCAAGTCCGCATTCCCAAGTTCTTTGTTCCTATTTACTTCACAAGAAA